AGACAACATGCTGCTGGACCCCCAATCCACACCCACTCCCTGCCCGGCCCCCAGGACACATTGACAAGACAAGCTCTCTCCAGGCACAGAGCCTGGACGCAGATGGCCAGATAAGGGCCCTAAAGGGCATTCCCTGGGACGAAGCCCACCATAAGTAAAAGGGGCAGCTGGACAGGAGAGGCAAGAAGTGGTGATCCATGGGAGTAGCAGTTGATTACGCCTGGCTAGGGAAAGTGCTCAGCAGCCAAGCAACCAAGACACCCCAAGAACTGTGGTATGGAGGAAGCAGACTAGGCCCCCATCCCAGGCCTCCCCTCCCCCACACCAGCCCTGGCTCCCTCACCCTGTAGACAGACAGCAATGGCATAGTCCATGGCCCAGCTGACCAAAGCCATAAGGAGTCCCAGCAGGACCAGGAAGATCCAGTCTTCACCAACCCTGGACGCTAAGAACTTGTGGCAGCGTACGGAACAGACTAGGGCAGGAAAGGGAAGAGCCATGGGGAGGGTGGCACCAAAATTCTCCTATCCCTTTCTCTGACTCGCCCCCTCCCCCATCAGCAGCTCTAAGGGTCTGTGCCCCACTCAGCACAGCACAGCCAAGTCCTCTGCCCCAATTCAAGTCTCACTGCGGCACGGAGCACATCGGCTCTGTCCATATTCCAGGAGCTCTGGGGGAGTCCGAGTGGAAGTGGGCCCTTTCCAGGGCTCAGGTCCTCCCAGGCGAATTCGAGCAGCTTCTTCTTTGGCAAAGGCCCCGAGTTCTTGAGTATACCGGCCATACATCTGGAGCAAGGGGGAGGATGTTGGCATCAGTGTGCAGGATTCAGTGGGAACACAGAGAGGACTCCTGGGGCCTGGGCATCCCCTTCTCCCAGCTTCCACTCTGTAAACCCCCTGTTGAACCCACAGTTCCCACTCTGCCTGAGAGTGTGGGAACAATGCACATTGCAGACTGTGGGGGCTGTCCTGGTCAGAGGGATGGAGACAGCCAAGGTACAGGGCCACAGCTCTGGGGGTGGCGGAATAATCAGTCTTCTCCCAGGCGAGGGAGAGGGGCCCTGAGGAGAAGTGGGAGGTAAAGCCCCGAGGATGGAAAAACCTAAGGCACAGACAGAAGGTGGGAGGAGGAAAGGTCAGAGAATGAGGGATGGTCAAGGGCATATGGGCAACAATAAGAGCCTGGTAGAGCTGAGGGCAGCCAAGATGGGCCTAGGAGCAGGCGGGGCCCCAATCCTTATCACGTTCCTGCTGGGCCTCTGGCCTGTGACCAACTCAGCTGCACTCCTCCTACCCACCCTAATCCCCTTGTCCCCATTCTCCACCCTTAACCTCCCCCCCCCCCCCACTAGCCTGCCAGCCCAGCTGGGAGTGGAAAGCCTCTCTGCATGAGTGGAGAGTATGTGGTAGTGGCTTTAGCTATACTGCCCCAGGCCCAGGGGCAGCACAGGCTGCTGATGGCAAGGCTGGGACTGGGGATGGTGGGGTGATGGGATGGGAGAGTCGCAAAGCTAAGGCTAGACCTGCCAAGCTGGGCATGTGTTGGGGGGTGGGGAGGAGTAGATTCCGGCTGCCACCCGCAGAGCTTCAGGACACAAAGGGCTCCTGTTGGGCCTAGGGTGTGGGGGGGGGAGGGAAAGATAGAGAAACACAGAGAGGGTGACAGATAGTGAGAATGGGAGAGGCAGAGGGGAAAGGAACTAGAGAGGAGGGAGGGTAACAGAGAAAAGAGGTACGAGAAAGCAAAACATAGGAGGGAGATGAATGGTGGCGCCGGGAGAAGGAAGAGAGTAGGGAGTAAAGAGACACAGTAAGTGGGAGGGGTGAGGGAGAGACAAAGGGGTAAGAGGGAGAGGCTGGAGCAGAGCGCTTTGCCAGAAGAGAGCTTGACCCTGAAAGCTCATTCCAGAGATAGAGACACAGGGAAGGCGATGGAGATATTGCTGGTGGAGAGACACCATTTCGGAACACAGGTGGCCTGGCTTCCTCCAGTGGACAATGGCCCTCTTCTAGGCCTCTGCAGTCTGACAGCTATCCCCCGCATGAGTCCAAGGGCTTGCCCCTCTACCCTTGGCTCTACGCTCACGTCTACCACCTCTACCGTCATCCAGTTTCAGAGTCACTCTCTCTGGTAATTGGGCACCTCCCTCCCTCAGTTACAACCCAGGCCCTCTCCTAGAGTGGTTCCTCCCTGCCACCTTCCTGAAGGGGCAAATTCCAGACCAAGCTGATAAAAAGGAGCCACAGGACCCATTGCTTTTACTTGTGTCCCCCACCCCACACATTAAGAAGGGCCAAATGGATTATTAAATACTAAGTAACTGTAATGGCTCTGAGTCAGCTCTGAGCATAGGACCCCTGCTTCTAATGGGGTCAAGGGACACCCCTAAGGCAGGTGGAGCTGCCTGCCCAGACCCAGCATGAACAAAGGTCCCAATTCCCACACCCAGTCCTGCTTCACCCATCCTCCTTAAAGCTTCGGTCCCCCAGGGTGGTAGGTCACCTTTCCCCTCAAAGGATCAACTGAGGGGTTCTTGCCAATGCTCGATTTTAAGCCCCCAAAGACAAGGGGTTGGGGCTGGGTTTGGATCTGATCATCTGTCTGACTACACACTCTTGACTCCTATGCCTACCCCAGTGCTGTGGACAAGGCAGACACGGAATGTCTTGAATGGTGGAGACTGGAGTGTGAAGAAAGTTCACGGGTGTGAATGGGGGTAGTGAGGTGCTGAGAAGAAAACGTGTGTTGGGGGCAGCCAAGGAAGGACACCTGGGACAAGCACTTGGTGTCATTGTCCTCCTCAGACCCCCAGGCTGTGCTAGAAACCAGCAAGCAGCTTTCCAACCCTTTGGCCCTGCAGCCTCTCAGACTTCCAAGCCTCAGTTTCCCCAGTTCAGAAGGCCGAGGGAGGGCTAGGGTAGCCCTCGATCCTCTCGCTTTCCGGGGCACCTGGAGCAGCGGTGCCCGAGCGCACCCTTTGGGGGCTCAGACCGGCTTCCCTTACCAGGGTCTGCTCGTACTGCAGCGCCCGAGGCTCCATCCCTTCCCCCGCCGCCGTGGCCGCCGCGGCCGCCATCTCCGCACACTGCCTTCTCGCCTCTCTCGGTCGCCGGGGTTCTGCCTCGGATTCGGCTCCCGGCCCGCAGAGCCCGCACCGGCACCCGTCCGGTCCCCGTAGCCGGGACGGCCGAGTGCAGAGTGCCGCGGGTCCCGGGCGGGCGCTGCAGGCGCAGCCTCCCGCTCGCGTCCCCTCCTCGGCGGGCGGGCCGAGGGCGGGACCCTCTGCGCCGCTCCGCCTGCCGGCCCGCGCGGAGGGGCCGGCCCAGCCTCGCCAGGGTCCGCATTGGGGCCGCCTTCCGGGCTCGGGAGAAGCTGCAGGGGGCGCTTGGAACGCGCGAGCCCGTGCCCACTGGCCGTGGAGGCCGGGGGGCAGAGGCGGAGGCACCCGGGTCCGGGGGAGGGCGGGTCTGGCTGGCACGTGGATGGGCCGGGCCCGGCCCCAGGCTCCCCGCGCGGGGCGGGGAGAGCCAGGAGATGCCGGGACTAGGTGGTATTCGCTTGGGGCTGCAGAACTGTCTCAATCAAGCTGTTCTGGCCCAACCTGTCAGGAACTGCCCCTTCTCGGCATCCCTTGAGGAACGAGAGGCTCAGGCGGCCCTCGGGGAGGGGGCAGGAGGCTCCGCTATCGGCCCGGGAATGCGGAGCAAGGCTGGGGGCGACTCAGAGAGGGACTGTGGGCGGTCTTCCACATCCCCACCCTTTCCTCCAGGTTCCCCCAGGGAGGTGCACCTGGAGTTGGTCGACCTGCCCGGGTGTGCAAGGGGTGGCGATGGGAGGGGCGGGGAAGAGGTGAGGCCCGAGGGAAGGGAGCTCTTGGTGCTGGGGAGGCCACTCCTGGGAGGCGGGTGTGGGGTGGGGTGGGGGGGAGCAGAGGTCGCATTTCCCTGGCAGGGCCCAAGGAGAAACCCGAGTAGCTGCTGACGTCTCGCCGCTTTGGGAAAATGGCCTGCTGGGGCTCCGCGTTCTCTATCAGGGTCCTTGGAAGGAGAAAACAGGATGGGGTGACCACAGAGAGTGGCACGGGACACAGAGCAGTCAGTGTCCAGGAAATGGACAGCGCGTGTAGGAAGACGCAGTGCAGGAATGAAGGCGCACTTGGGAGAGGCAGTGCCCAGAAAGGGTGCCGTAAGAGAGAGGAGCCGGGATGAGCGAAGGCCTGCCCTCTGCTCCCCGACAGGGAGGACAATGTCAGGATCAAGGTACACGTAGATCAGTGTCCAGAAGGAGAGGACAGTACCAAGTGGAGGGGAGCAATGCCGAGGGGGAGCGCGGTGTGCGGAGCTCAGTGCCAGGCTGAAGGTGCAGTGTGGGGGAAGACCACTGGGCCCCGGGGAAGAGCGCCGTGGTGGGAAGGGTCCAGCACCAGGGGCGGAGACAGTGCAGCCTTTCCTTTTCCTCTTCTTCGAGGTGACATCATGGCAAATTCCCAAACCCGACGGACCCGGCTCGGGTAACGACCTGCAGAGCCTGGCCGGACGGGGCTGGGCCGGGCCCGCGCTGGGGAGCGGGGGTGGGGGGGGTGGGGGGGGGGAGGCGCGATGCCAGCTGGCGTCCTGCGCCGCCAGCTCTCTGGAGGCGGGGTTCTGCTTCACCCGTCCCCGGAGCGGACTGTGCCCGGAGGGCACGCGGACCAGCAGGGTAGGGCTGGGCTTTTGTGGGCCAAGGATCAAGGTCCTTGCCTGGGTTAGGCCGCTACGCATTCCACTGTTCAGAACCCGGGCTCTGAAGAGGGCGCAGTGGAGCCCCGGCAGAGAGCCACAACCCGCGCCGCGCGGCCGCCGGCGGCGGAGGTGGAGCCTACCGTGTCCCCGCCCTGGGCGGAGTCACCTGGATCCGAGACCCACCCTCCATCTCTTAGCCAATCCGAAGCAGCCTTTGGGAGCGGAAGTTAAGACGCCCTGAGAGGGAGGCGGCGGAAGTGGCTGCGTCACGGCCAGTCCGTGCGCACGCGCCATCCTCCCTCCTAGACGCTTTCTTGAATTTACTTTTTTCCCCCCTCGTCTTCTTGTGCTCCACGCGATGAGGTGCTCGGACCCCTAGGTGTGTCGGCGGGCTTATCTCTTCTGCTGCTCTTGTGGCCCCCTCACGATGGCGGGCATCCTGTTTGAGGATATTTTTGATGTGAAAGACATTGACCCCGAGGGTAAAAAGTTTGACCGTGGTAAGTAAGATGTGCCTGGCGCGGGGAGCATTCGGGGAGAGGCGAGCTTGCGGGCTCGCTGCTGGGTTGCTGCCTGCCCGCGCTCGGCTCTTGGCCGGCCGAAGCCAGCAGGTTCGGGAAACATCTCAAGGCTGGGAAGACTGAAACAGCGTTCCCTGGCTTCACGCGGGCGGCCCTTACCCAGCATGCTGGCAAACTCCTGGGCATCATTGTTGTCGCTGCCTGCTTTGTATCACGCGCCGGGCCGTGCGCATGCCCCACACTGTGCCCTGTTCTTCTAGGAGTGAGTGCGGTAGGTGGTGGTACCTCCTTCCTGATGAAATAACCTGCCCAAAGCTGCGCAGCAAGTTATCTGACCTCCTGGGCTATATTATTGTTGTTGTTGTTATAATTGTTATTAACCGTATTAGGGTTAATATTCGGGTCCTTGGGCTTGCTCTACTGCTTGAGCCACGCCTCCAGCCTGACTTTTTGCTGGTTATTTTGGAGATGGAGGCTCAGAGTTTTCTGCCCAGGCTGACTTCTAACCCTGGAAATCTCAGCCATTTGAGTAGGTAAGATTACCAGTGTGAGCCACTGGCTCCCAAATCTAACATCCTTGTGTTGCTCTTGGAATCCTAGCGTTTTGTGAAGTTCTCTAAGTTAAAGCTAACAGCTTGACTCACACCTCTGCAGTGCCTTTGATGAGTAATTGTTTCTCCTTGGCTTTCTTTGCCTAGAGACTGAGATGATTTTCAGTAAAGAAATGAGTTACTTTTTTGGGGGGCCAGTGTGGGGCCTGGGAGCTGTCCCTCAGCTCTTTAGATCAAGGCTAGCACTCTACCACTTGAGCCACAGGGCACTTCCGGCTTTTTCTGCTTATGTGGTGCTGAGGAATCGAACCCAGGGCCTCATGCATGCAAGGCAAGCACTCTACCACTGAGTCACCTTCCCGGCCCACAAGTTTCTTTCTTTTGAGTGAGGGGCTGGTATCTGGGTTCAAACTCAGATCCTCCCACTTGCTCAACTTGCTTGCTCAACCACTTGAGCCACACCTCCAGGCTGGATGTAGTGGTTAATTGGAGATAACTTTGCTGACCAGGCTAGTAGCTTTGAATTATGGTCCTCTGGGTCTTAGTCTCCTGAGTAGGTAGGATTACAGGCATGAGCTATATCATCCAGCCTAGATACCAGTTTTTATATATCCTGATAATTCCCTCAGCATAGTGTCTCACACAGGAAAAAAGAAACGATTGGATGGATGAATGAGGTGCCCAGAGTTAGGTTCTAAATCATTCATACAGGGCTAGAACCTAGATGTTATTTGCTCCCAGAGCTTCAATTCTTGGAGATCCTGATCACTTGCCATATTTTCTTTGCATTTCTTGTTTTGATTCAGCCTGTGTTCCTTTTTCTTTCTTTTTCTTTTTTGTCGGCCGTGGGGCCTGAACTCAGAGCCAGGGCACTGTCCCTTAGCTCTTCAGCCCAAGGCTAGCCCTCTACCACTTGAGCCACAGCGCCACTTTTGGCTTTTTCTGCTTCTGTGGTGCTGAGGAATCTAACCTAGGGTTTTATACATGTGAGACAAGAACTCTACCACTGAGCCACCTTCCAGCCCCTGATCCTGTGCTCCTGTGAAAGCAAAACAGATCCCATGGGTATACATGGGGGTAGATTAAATGTTCTGTAGCATTTAATCCCCAACTGAGATTTTTTTCTGTCTTGTTTTGTTTTGCTGGAGCTGGTATGTGGATGCAAGGTCTCTATTCACTTACAGCTGGCACTCTACCACTTGAGTCATGCCTCTACGATTCCTGCATTTTGCTGGTTAATTGGAGATAAGAGCCCATTGGATTTATTTACTTGGTGACTTTGAACCTTGAGTCTCAGACCTCAGCCTCCTGAGTAGCTAGGATTAGGATTATAGGTGTGAGCCTCTAACATCTGCCTCATTTTTTTTTTTTTTAAACTTTTCCCCAGTATCTCGACTACATTGTGAGAGTGAGTCTTTCAAGATGGACCTCATCTTGGATGTAAACATTCAGATTTACCCTGTAGACTTGGGTAAGTATTGAACACAGATGATCACAGGTAATAAATTTTTGGGTGTCTTGTTTCAGCTATTCTTCACTCTTAGATATTCTTTTTTCAGGTGACAAGTTCAGATTGGTCATAGCTAGTACCTTATATGAAGATGGTACCCTGGATGATGGTGAATATAACCCCACAGATGACAGACCTTCCAGGTGAGAGAAGGGGCTAAGTAGATAACTGTTATAGATTGACTTATTTTATTCCTGGAATAAATGATGATCAACAGAATCTGAGTAACGGGAAGAAAGTTGGCACACTTAAGAATTTTACAGCCTTTAGGCATGGATATTTCACGCCTGTAATTATAGCTAATCAAGAGGCTGAGGTCTGAAGGTCAAAGTTCCAAGCCAGCCTGAGTAGAAAATCCCTGAGATTAGCCAATTAACCTGATTATAGCCAATTAACCAGAAAAAACCCAGAAGTAGAGCACAATGCCCAGGCCGAGGTTCAAGCCCTAGGACCAGTGCCAAAAAAAAAAAAAAAAAGGAATTTTATAACCAACATAAATTGGTATGTTGGACTGAAAATTCTTTGTACAATTACCTAAAGATAATAAAAAAAAAACGAAAATAATTTCATAACCGTCATGGTGAAAATCCCTAGTACAATTAAAAAATGAATGACAGGAAAGTAAAACAGCTTAGTTGGAGGTGTGAGTATTGTTGAGAATGTGGAAGTGAGAATGTGGTTGAAGTACTTTCTGTTCATTGTTCTATGGAACAATGAAACCTGTTAAAATTGTTTTTAAGAAGGAGATTAGGAAAAGTGAAAGGTGGGGATGAGGTTGATAGGGGATATATTGTGTTTAGTAATAGAGATCTTTTTTTTTTTAATTTTTATTGTGAAAATACTGTACAGAGGGGTTACAATTACATGGGTAAGATAATGAGCACATTTCTTATCAAGCATTGTAGCCTCCTGCTTTGTTTCCCCTTCCCATCCCTTCATATCCTCCCCCCTTCCCCCCTCCCCATTCCCCCCACCAAAGTTGTAAAGTTCGTTTTTCGACATAACGACTTGTACATCTCATTGTTGCAATGGGTCCTCCTGTATTGCTGTTTTAACAATTTGTTTTTTCCCTTCCCCTCCACATATACCAACATCATATATAGTGAAAGCAGGGGTTGTACCATGGGGGAGGGACATACAAGGCAACAAAGACATAATCTTATAAATATGTTAGAAACAATCACAGGAAAGATCTCTCTCTCTAATAGAGATCTTTTTAAAAATTTGACATTACACGGAGGATTTCATTGGAGATTTCCACATGTTTACAATATATTCTTTTTTTGTTTTTGGTTGTGGGGCCTGAACTCTGGGCCTAGGTGCTGTCCCTCAGTTCTTTAACTCAAGGCTACAGCTCTACCACTTGAGCCACAGGGCCACTTCTGGCTTTTTCTGCTTATGTAGTACTGAGGAATCGAACCCAGGGCCTCGTGCATGCAAGGCAAGCACTCTACCACTGAGCCACCTTCCCAGCCCCCTACAATATATTCTTATCAATCTTAGTCCCTCCACTCTCCCTCCTTCTTCCCAAAACAATTTCAACAGGTTTTATTGTTCTGTTTGCTAATAAATATCTTAGTTACAAAAAGGAATTTGAACAACAAACGGGCTTATTATATATTGAAGAAATGGTTGATTGTGTGTTTGAGATGTGGCTTTTTCTTTGTTGGTTGTGGGGCTTGAACTCAGGGCCTGGGTGTTGTCCCTGAGCTCTTTTGCTAAGGCTAGCACTCTACCACTTTTAGCCATAGTGTCACTTCCAGTTTTTTAGTTATTAATTAGAGATAAAAGTCTCATAGGGCCTTTTCTGCCTGGGCTGGCTTTGAACCGTGATCCTCAGATCTCAGCCTCATGAGTAGTTAGGATTACAGGCATGAGCCACTGGTGCCCAGTGCGATGCAGCTTTTTAAAGGCTAAAGAAATGACTATTGAGTGACCTTGGCTATATAGGCCTTGTGTCTTGTGATGGAAAAGCTTTGGAGCCTACTGAGTACAATTCTCAGCTCTACTTATTTGCTGAGTACCTGTAACCTCAGTTACCTCAGCCTCCATTTCCTCATCAGGAGAGTAGAGCAGATCATGCCTAGCTCACAGAATTGCTGTGAAAACTAAATGACTTCATGTTTCTAAGGTGTTTGGTTATAATGCTGGTATTTAGTAACCAGCTGCCTTTTTTTTTTGGTTGGTCATGGGGCTTGAACTCTGGGCCTGGGCACTGTTGCTCAGCTCTTCAGCTGAAGGCTAGCACTCTACCACTTGAGCGTCAGCCCCACTTCCAGCTTTTTCTGTTTTTGTGGTGCTGAGGAATTGAACCCAGGGACTCATGCATGCAAGGCAAGCGCTCTACCACTGAGCCACCTTCCCAGCCCCATCAGCTGCCATTTTAAAAGGACCTCATATGTAGTTAATTATCATGGAGAAATAACTTTGCCACACTTGTTTCACAGGGCTGACCAGTTTGAATATGTCATGTATGGGAAAGTGTACAGGATTGAGGGAGATGAAACTTCTACTGAAGCAGCAACACGCCTGTAAGTTCTATATTCTGGTGAGAATTATTATTTTCTGTCAGTTGGCCTGAACTCTGGGCCTGGACGCTGTCCCTCAGCTCTTCAGCTCAAGGCTAGCGCCCCACCACTTGAGCCACAGTGCCACTTCCAGCCTTTTCTGCTTATGTGGTGCTGAGGAATCGAACCCAGGGCCTCATGCATGCAAGGCAAACACTCCACCACTGAGCCACCTTCCCAGCCAACTTCCTACCTTTTCACACTTCCTGTTCTGAGAATTTGGACCATGCTTTTGACTCCTGTGCTGGTCTTTCTCAATCACCTCAGACCTAGAGATAAAGAAATCTGGGAGAGCCAGGTGCTGGTGGCTCACGCCTGTAATCTTAGCTACTCAGGAAACTGAGATCTGAGGATTGCAGTTTGAAGCCCGTCCGCAGGAAAGTCAGTGAGACTGTTATCTCCAATTAACCATCAGGAAACTGGAAGTGACATTGTAGCTCAAAGTGGTAGAGTGCTAGCCTTGAGTGAAAAAGCTCAAGCTCAGGGACAGTGCTCAAGCTCTAGGTTCAAGCCACATGACCAACAAAATAAAAAGAGAAAGAAATCTGTGAATAGTCTCCATCCTGCAATATTGAGAACTCATTGCCAATAGTTAGTGATCCAGATGAGAAATTGGTAATCTTGCTTTATGAAATGCAAAGGAGAGTGGAATTACTGGCAGCATTAAGTGACTAAACTGTTAGGCTTTTGTCGTTTTTGTGTATATGAGTGTGTTCTACTACTCTAACCCAATCTTTAGTTCTTTAGTTTGTCTGCCTACTCTTTTCATTTACAAATTGAATTAAAATAAGATATGTTTATAAGAAAATTGTAGCTGGGTGCCAGTGGCTCACGCCTGTAATCCTAGCTACTCAGGAGGCTGAGATCTGAGGATCGTGGTTCAAAGCCAGCCCGGGAAGGAAACTCCGAGAGACTCTTATCTCTAATAAATCACCAGAAAACTGGAAGTGGCGCTGTAGCTCAAGTGGTAGAGTACTCACCTTGAGCTGAAGAGCTGAGGGACAGTGCTCAGGCCCAGAGTTCAAGCCCCACGACTGACCAAAAAAAAGAAAGAAAGAAAGAAAATGTGTTACCTATACATGTATATCCAGAGGAAGAGGAAACTTTTTTTTTCTTTTTTTTTTTTGTCAGTGGTGGAGATTGAACTCGGCCTGGGCGCTGTCCCTCAGTTCTTCAGCTCAAGGCAAAAGCTCTACCACTTGAACCACAGCCTCACTAAGAGGAAACCTTTTGTATAAACATTTTTTAATATTCTATGGGGTTTTGTTGTTGCTGTTTGTTTTGTTGTGCTTTGTTTTGTTTGTTAGTCTTGAGGCTTGAACTCTGGGCCTGGGTACTGTCCCTCAGTTTTTACTGTCCCTCTACCACTTGAGCCACAGTGCCACTTCTGGTTTTCTGGTGGATTATTGGAGATAAGAGTCTCACAGACTTTGCTGCCTGGGCTGGCTTTGAACTGTGATCCTCAAATCTCAGCCTTCTGAGTAGCTAGGATTACAGGTGTGAGCCACCAGTGCCCAACCTATGGTTTTTTTTTTAATGTGTACATTTTATTTTATTTTATTTTATTTTTTTGCCATTCGGGGCCTTGAACTCAGGGCCTGGTCACTGTCCCTCAGCTTCTTTTGCTGAAGGCTAGCACTCTACTATTAGAGCTACAATGCCACTTCTGGCTTTTTCGGTGGTACTGAGGAGTCGAACCCAGGGCTTCATGCATGCTAGGCTAGCACTCAACCACTAAGCCACATTCCCAGCCCCTTTAATTTTTTTGAGATGTTCTTTATCATGTGCCAGTACTAGGGCTTGAACTGAGCCGGGGCCTTCTGTAGTTTTTTTGCTTAAGAATGGCGCTCTACTACTTGAGCCACACCACCTCCACTTCCAGCTTTTTGCTGGTTAGTTGGAAGCAAGTATCTCTCAAGATTTGTCTGCCTGGGCAGGTTTCTAATCTGGATCCTCAGATCTCAACCTCCTGAGTAGCTAGGATTATAAGCATGAGCCTCTAGCATCTGGATGTTACTTTAAGTTTTATTAGCATACATTAGTTGTGTGAGGTGAGTTTCACTGTGACATATGTGTATACATTGTATCCAGTCAACTTTACTCCTCCCCTCCCCCCTTATCACTTTTCTTTCTCCCCTTCACCCTTAAAACAATTTCAGCAGGCTTTATTGTTCAGTTTTCATGCATGAAAAAAATAAATGCCTTGGATCATATTCATCTTTATTCATCTTCTTTGCTAGCTCTCCCCCTTCCTTCAGTACCTATCCTCCAACAGAACTTCTTTTACTTTCCTGTCATTAATGTTGAGAATTTTAAGAATTTGAGATAATGTTCTTCATGATAAAGCTTTCTAATCTCTTTTCTATGTTAGATGAAAATGTTTCCTAAATGTTTAATAGCTGTTTAACATTCTAGTGACTATGCCTTAATTTATTGCCTATTTCTCTAATTTTGGGCACATAGATATTTTTCTCCTTAAATTTTTTAAAATTGTTATTATAAAGGTGATGTACAGAAGGATTACAGTTAAATATATCAGGTAAAGAATACATTTCTTGGGCTGGGAAGGTGGCTCAGTGGTAGAGCGCTTGCCTTGCGTGCCTGAGGCCCTGGGTTTGATTCCTCAGCACCACATAAGCAAAAAAGAAAAAAGCCGCAAGTGGCGCTGTGGCTCAAGTGGTAGAGCGCTAGCCTTGAGCTGAAGAGCTGAGGGACAGCGCCCAGGCCCAGAGTTCAGGCCCCACAACCGGACCCAAAAAAAAACAAGAATACATTTCTTTTAAGATAATGTCACCCCTTCCCTTTTTCATCTTTGCTGATAAAAAAATACACTGCTTTGTCAGGCACCGGTGGCTCACATTAATCCTAGCTACTGAGGCAGCTGAGATCTGAGGGTTGCAGAAGACAGCCTGGGCAAGAAACTCCATAAAGTTCTGGTTAGAAAAAAAAAAAATGCCAGAAGTTAAGCTTTGGCTCAAGAAAGTTGTAGAACACCAGCTTTGAGCCAAAACAACAGCAACAAACCTCAGGGACAGTGCCCCGGCCCTGAATTCAAGTCCTAGGACTGGCACAAAAAAAATAAAACAAAGCAGAATACACTGCTTTGCATCAGCTTTGAATTTTTGGTTTCTAATGACAGAATACTAAGGGGTGCCTCTTGTCTACCACATGCTGGGATGGAGAGCTTGGTAGCAGCTGCTCCAGAGCTCATACTCAGGATGGGGACCTTCTGTTTCAGCTCTGCCTATGTGTCCTATGGGGGCCTACTCATGAGGCTACAGGGGGATGCCAACAATCTGCATGGATTTGAGGTGGATTCCAGAGTCTATCTGCTGATGAAGAAATTGGCCTTCTGAATGTCCTGGGAAGCCAGCCACACTGCTCATCAGCCATATCATGGACACCATTCAAGTCTGAAGAAAAGTTGCTGTTGTTCACCTGTTAAGGAGAGTTTGACTCATGTCCACCTTGGGTGAAACTTTAGGTAGTCTGGATTCAATGGGAAACTGACACTTGACTGTGAAAGACCCTATGGGAGAGCTTAAAATGAACCAGAGTTGTTTTTTATGTATATGATTTTTTAAAAAATTAAACTTTACTTTTTCAGATTCCTTTCCCACCCTTGGTAGGTTTTTGTTGTTTGTTTTTATTTTTATTTTTGAGACACTGTTTCCATTGTTTCAGTTTTACTGTGTAGCACAGGCTGATTTTCTTTTTTTTCTTTTCTTTTTGGTCAGTCATGGGGCCTGGACTCTGGGCCTGGGCGCTATCCCTCAGCTCTTCAGCTCAAGGCTAGTGCTGTACCACTTAAGGCACAGCTCCACGTCTCTGCTTATGTGGTACTGAGGAATCGAACCCAGGGCCTCATGCATGCAAGGCAGGCACTCTACCACTGAGCTATCTTCCCAGCCCAACACAGGCTGACTTTAAACTGAAGATCCTCTGCCTCCTAGTGCTGGGGTTATAGTCCTGCATCACTATGCCCAGTTTTCCTTCTCCCTTTAAGGAAATTTCATTGTTTTTAAAATCTAATTTTTGGGGGGAAGATTTTTTGTTAGACATTAGTTTTTACCTGGGGGAGGGGTCATTTTCATACATACATACACACATACAATATACTTTTTTAAAAAATCACTTTCCCTTATCCTTATTCCCCCCTTCTTTTTTTTTTTGTCGGTCGTGGGGCTTGAACTCTGGGCCTGGGCGTTGTACCTCAGCTCTTCAGCTCAAGGCGAGTGCGCTACCACTTGAGCTACAGCGCCACTTCCGGTTTTTTGGTGGTTTATTGGAGATAGGAGTCTCACGGTCTCTCCTGCCCGGGCTGGCTTTGAACCGCGATCCTCAGATCTCAGCCTCCTGAGTAGCTAGGATTACAGGCGTGAGCCACCAGCGCCCGGCTTATTCCCCCCTTCTTAAAACAAATTCAACTGGTTTCTTTGTTGTGATTCTTTCCCCCCCCCCCACCCCCAATTTATCTGTGCTGTGTTTCTGGCCCAAAGCCAACCCCTATCAATATAGGATCTTCCCCAGTCTTTTGCTATCTGGCTTGAGTTGGCTCAGTTTCTTGGCTGTTCCAGTATTTATTCCTCAATGTGGTCTTCTCTCTGGGAGAAAGTGTTGTGCTTTGGCTCTTGAGGGTAGAACCCCAGGCCCGGAAGATACCACCCATTTGGCATAGAATTTTGAATTGGCAAGGAGCCCTGCTCGTGTTCTTCCAACTCCCGCAGTCTCTTAGAAAGTCAGTTCACGTTGACTTGAATGAGTCGTTTGCATAGCCTGGAAATGCTCACTTCTGTGGAAGCTTGGGGTGAAGGCTTTTAGACATAGCCCTTGGGTAGGACTATGACAGAAGAGGGGAGTTGGTGGTTATGGAAGCAGGTAGGGGAAATGGCTGCTCTCTATTCTGGTGGTAACTTGAGAGGGAGGGTAAGTGGTAGCTTTCACCAGTGACACTAAACAGGAAGCTGCTGCACAGACCAGTGATGTGGACAAGGCACCAATACCAATGAGGTTGGTGATCCAGTGCCAGTGAGAACAACACAGTAGCCTGACTCAAGTCACTCGTGGGGGAAGAAAAAGGCTAAGGAAATAGTGATGATTACCCAGTCTTCAGCATGTGAGCTAGGTCTTCCTCTTGCCCTTGGAGGTCTCTGGGAAAGTGTATGGGACTCTGTTTTCCCCAGGGAAGACAGTGCTGTATCTTTCTGTGTTTTAAACTGTTTGTTTTAATGTCCTGATTTTGTCACAGATGCTGGTCCCCCTGCTGGCATGCCTGGAGTGTTTCCTTCCCCATAATTTTCAGGTCTTTACATGAGGTGTAGAAATAGTATTTAGAGAAATGTGTTGAAAATGGCCCTCAGCAGGGAGGAGGAAAACGTGTTTCTTCACCTTGAGGGGTTGTATTGAGAATTGGGATGTAATTTTATGGAATCATAGCACTTTTTTTCTTAGTACTTTTTTTTAATAGGGTCAGATTTCTTGAGGGATTAGACAAAGGTGAGTTTAGAGTAGGAGAGCTAACAGTGTCTAGGCTGTCATAGTAGACCAGATGGCAAAACAAAACAAAATACCTAACTAGCTGAATAGGCATGAGTGTTGTGGTTGTAAAAATGTTCTGTTTTTGCCTATACTGGGGTTAGGGTCTTCCTAAGGCAGGTGCTCTACCATTAAGCCATACTTCTGGCCCTAGGGAGGTTTGTTTTTTGAGTCCCACAATATAGTCCTGGCTGTCCTCAATATTATAGTCCTTCCTTAACTTCCCAAGTGCTGAGATTATAGGCATGGACCATCACACTGAACTTGTTTTTGCTTTTTTGATAGGCTTGTTGGTTTACCCAGTTTGGCCTGGAACTTGTTATGTAGCTTACACTGGTCTTGAACTCAAGATCCTACCTCAGTCTCAGGGATGCTAGAATTATAAAGACTACTATGCCTCACTTAAGGTTTTGTGCTTTTTTTGTGTGTCAAAGGGAAGTGGGATAGAATCAAGCAAAATAATTTGAGAGTGGGTTGAATTCTTTCTTCTGCCTTCTTTCATCGTTTTCTTTCTTCCTTCTTGTCTCAACCAGGCTCTGGTGGCCTGTAATCCTAGCTACTCAGGAGGCTAAAGTTCCAAGCCAGCCCAGGCGGGAGAGGCTGTGAAAGTGGTGCTGTGGCTCAAAGTGGTAGAGTGTTAGCCTTATGCAAAAAGAGGTCAGGGACAGTGCCCAGGCCCCGAGTTCAAGCCCACAATGGACAAAACAAAACAACCCCCCCCCCCCCCCCCAAAACACTTAAGGTCTCACTGTACAGCCTAGGCTGGCTTCATACTTGGAATTCTACTTCTCCATATTCAACCTTAATTTAGGTGTGTGTGTGTGTGTGTGTGTGTGTGTGTGTTAGGTGTGTGTGTGTTAGGTGTGTGTGTGTTAGGTGTGTGTGTGTGAGATGAGGTTTGAACTCAGGCCCTACCACTTGAGCTACATCCCTGGATTAGAGTTTTAAGAAGGGAAGATTAGTTCATTTGGGAGAAGATCATGAGTTACTTGGATTTGCTCTGAACCTGTAGTAGGTTCAGATGCCAGTATTCTGGAACTTTCTGGCTACCTTTGCAATTTTACCATCCTTACCACTTGTGTGACTTTGTTGAGAACCTATTATTCTTTGGCTCTTTGGTATGTTTTGTCATGGATACTGGTTCTTCATGTGCCCACAGGTATTTGATCATTAAATTTTTTTTTTTTTTGGTGCCAAACCTGGGGTTTTAACTCAGGGCCTAGGCACTGTTCTTTAGTTCTTTGGTTAAGCTGGTGCTCTATCACTTAAATCACTGCTCCACTTCTAGTCTTTTTGATGGTTAACTGGAGGTAACAGTTCACAGACTTCTGCCTCAGCTGACTTCAAATTGTCATCCTCAGATCTCAGCCTCCTGAGTAGGATTACTGGCATGGGCCACCAGGGCTTGGCTTTAACCTACTTATTATTTGAATAAATTATAAATTCCACTTGTTATTCCCTCCCTTAGCTTCATCCAGAAATTTAGTGTGGATGATCTAATTCTTTCCTATCTGAGATTTGGACATATGAAGTTCTTGAGCTTTGTGCATTTGTTGATTTCTTCCTCTATAATAAGGAGAGAGCAACACATGGAGATGTCCAAATTGGTCACCTCCTACCAACATGTTTGGTTTTTCTACTCAAAGCTTTTTAGTAGTTTACGTATTTAAGCCCTCAGGGCTTAAGAGGTCTTTCACAGTAAGTAGAATCAGTGAACAATATGCTAGACGATGCATCACACTGGGGAGATTATGGGTTTCAGAGTGAGTCTCACTAAGGTGTTTCTTTTCCTGCACAGGCTATGGGACCACTAGGAATTCACCTGGCTTCTCTGAGCTTTAGTTGCTTCATTTGCAAAATACAGATGGATAGTACCTATCTTATAGAATTGTGTCAGCATTAAAAATAAAAGTTAATATAAAACTCCTAGCTTTCACCCTGTTGCCTTTGAGGACCTTGGGCTATTTGTGGTAGTGTATGAACTCTGGGATCCTCTCTACCTATATGATAGCCTTTCCGCTTTGTATTGGAAGAGAGGAAAAAGTTTCCACTAATATTCATGCAGCAACCTATGGAGTTAGCACTTTGACAATATTTGCAAAGTCTTAGAAGCTGGCTTCATTTTAGGGCTCTCATAGCAGAGCTAATGGTAGTTACACAGGGCTGTTTTTCAGATGCACTTGTGGGGATGGGAAATGAGCCTTCAACTTGCTCTTTGGCTTGTCCTCCTGCTGTGTGGGCTCAAGGAGCCCGATTCATGCCACTTCCTGCACTTCCCCCTGACCTCCACAGGAGGGAGGCAGGAGCCCAGGCCTGGTGAAGTTTCCTGCTGAGTTGCTGATGTGTTAGCTGTTTGCTCAGCTGTCACATCTAGGTCTTCACTGAACTGTATTACACAGCCTTACCTGGGGTGTGAGGCTTCCTGTTAGCTTTCTTGGATGGGGAGAGGGGGGTGTCTATTGCCCCTATGAAGAACATCTTTTTCTGGCTTTCTAGCTTGCTTTGGGCATTCTCATTCTTTCACAGTTTCATTTGCCTATTATGTGGAGCCTCTCTTCTTTCTAGGATTTTGCTATGTAGCCTAGACTGGCCTCAGACTCCTGTCAGCCTCCTGTCAGCCTCCTGAGTCTGAAGATTACTGGGCATGCACCAATACAAGGAGCTCTAGGAACAGCCTTTTAAAGAGACCCTTGTTACTCATTTATCAAGAATAAGGATATCTTCAGAATAGAGGACCAAACAGACTCTCACAGAACGATAGTAAACAGGGTGGAAACAGTGGAAGGACTTAAACGTGAAGTGAAGCAAACGACCCTTCCTCTATTCAAAGGCCAGGCCAGGACTTTGCTGAACAATCATATGAATAAGAACATATAGAAAATTAGTGAGATCACTGCATATTTGTGCAGAAAATAGACCAAATATTGGAGATAGTTTTTTTTTAAAATAGCTTCTGAAGTTTTATGATGTACAGTGAAAAATATTCCTTTTTTCTTTCTTGTGTTTCTCTACAAGGCTTTAGGTTTCAAGTGAAAGCAGGATGTCTGGTGTAGCAGCAATTGTCTCTCAGAAAAAGAACATGAGAGACACTGCTGATGCTGGCAGGACTGGACGACTTCATCCTTCCTGGGACAGATTCTGGGAGTGAGGGTGGGCTGATACTGGGAGAGAGCTGGGAGAGTTGGGTACGATAGCAGAAGAGTCAGGAAACATGGGGTGGAGCTGGGGTGAAGCTGGGGTGGGCGGAGGAGAGAAGAGTATATACTGTCCAGTAGGAGGATGTGTTGGGAAAGTAGAATATTCAGTCTGGAGGGTGGGGGACAGGGAGCCTGTATCCAAAGCTCCAGGTAGACCATCTGGCACCTCTCCAGTCCTGGGTGAGGCTCCAGGAAAGAGTCCATGAGATCCATTCAGAGGTCCATGTGTCTTGTTCAGGATTTGGTCTGGGGACCTGGAGGTTTGGTTCAGCAGACCAGGAATCTTGGCTCTGAATCCTTGCAGCTTGTTTAGAAGTCCGGAGCCAGTAGTTCTGGCAGAGACACTGATATTTGTCTCCAGCAATCCAAAAGTCCTGTTTGAGAGCTTGTGCAGTGTGGGGGGTAGAGAGGTACTGTTCAGGACAGTTGTGGCAGGTAGGGACCGCCTGATGCAGAGAGAGGGCCCTCCTACAAGCAGCAGGAAACGCACCTTTCCTCGGAGCAGTTGCTGGAAGCTCAGGAAGATGGCATTGGGATCCTTGTGAGCTGTGGTCCTGCCCTGTGGAGGAAGCTGTAGGCAGAGGATGGGCCTGAGGCCAGAGAGCAGGCCCACACATCAGCCCTTCCTTGACTACAAAAAAATGGTTTCAGCACCCAGGCATTATGACTTAGGCCAGCTCATGTACCCCAAAGATATCCCAGGATCTTCTTTCTTCCCTCAAGAAGAGACTTTAGAGACTGAGTCAAAGAAGTTCAGTTTCTCTAGATCCTTCACTAAGGACTTACCTGGGTCCCAAGGAGGCCTTGCAGAGCCCCAAGGAGGAGACGGACCTGTCCAGAAAGCTGTCCCAGAAGAGACGAGAGGCAAGTGGGACCAAGTTGTCCACGTGCAGCCATCACTCCCTCCAGCAGAAGGGTCACAGCTCCCAGAATGTCCTGTGCCTTGCTCTGCTCCTGGAAGAGATGGATGAAGAGAGAATCTGCTTCAAAGGGTGTGCTAATAGTGGGTGGGGTGCCCTCAGGAGTAGCCAACAGGATGAATCATAGGAGCTGAGAATTGGACAGGACCACGGTCCCACCCAGCACAGGAATTCTTTCACAGTCTTCCGACAATTGGTCATCGGCCTCTGCTTCAATAACTCCAGTGTAGAGCCAACCCAGCCTGGTCTCACACTGACTTTGAGTCAGAAAGTCCTGCCCTATTAGTTTGTAGTTCTAGGTTCTAGTGCTACAGAGTCTTAGTACTGTGGCATTTTAAAAGTTAAATGTAAAGACAAAACTACTATAATGATAATAAAAGTGAAGGGAATGATCATAAAAGTGAAGTGATCATAAAAATGAATGGAAGGGCTAGAAATAAAAGCAATTCATAGGAACTGCCTTTCTCCCCTGGGCCAGTGTCCCTAGCAGAACTTGAGGAAAGAAATGGATTCCAGGGATCTTAGAGGTAGGAGAATGCTTCCTTCTAGTAGTTTCTTCTGGGTCCCAAGTTCTTGTCTACCTCTTTTCTCTAAGCCAATCAGACAATTTTGTGGTTTTGTTTTCTCAACCATTGCTTGTATAACATTTTCTAGCTTCTTGCTGCTTGCTTCTGAACACATGTTAGTTGAATATGATTCCTCTTAATAAATTAACATATGTCTCAGAGGAATGAGATGTCTAGTATTCAGGTCAATAATTTTATAGAGTTCTATAGGGATGTTTCTGTAATGTGGATGCTAAACATCCAAAGCAGTCAAAGCAGTTACTAGATTTAAAACTAGTTTCTTTTGGACTGGGTGTGTATCTCATGGGTAGAGAATTTGCCTGGCATGTGTAACACCCTGAGTTCTGTCCTTACACCACAAAAATGCAGGGAGAGAAAGAGAAAGAGGTGAGGGAAGAGAATGAATAAAAGTAGCTACTTTGGGGTCTATTTAATACTCAAATCTTTTTTGGTAGGAAGTACTAGAGCTAGATGTTTAAATGAGGGAATTAATATGCCATGATTTAAAAGCTGGAATAGGAATTACACGTGTAGAATTATATATACAGCTCTCTTAAATTTCACCTTAGCTTTTGTTTTTGTCATATGGTGCTGGGATGGAAGCCATGGACTTGCTTATGTCTGGCAACTATTTTACCATGGAGTTATATCCCCAGCCCTTGCTATATATACTTTTTTGGTGGTAGGGGGGCTATAGCTCAGATTGGCCTTGAACTTGCAATGCAGCTTAGGCTGGCCTTGAATTTGTCATCCCCTGCTTTAGCTTCCATAGTTCTGGGACTACAGGCATGTGACACAATGACCAGTAGTGATCTGAATCTTGATTCTGGCTTTTGTCATTCTAGTGATACTTCCTAGATTTGGGTCATCTATAGATAGCAGATTAGAAGTTGGCATGAAATGTCAAAAGTTTCTATTCAGCTTTTCATGGTTTTAGCCTAGCGTTTATTTGAAATAGTGACCCTGAAAGCTATCATCTTGTCAATAAAATATCATCATAGATTGGATTAGCAAAGCCAAAGTAAAAGTAAGATTTTTAGGGAGTTATACAATTTTGAAGGATTTTGGGGAAGCATAAATCTTTGTCTGTCTGTCTATCTGTCCTCTTTTTCCTTCTCTCCCCTCTTCTCTCTTCCTCTTCCCTTTTTTTCTCCTCTCTTCTCTCTTCCTCTTCTTTTTTTTTTTTTTGTCGGTCGTGGGGCTTGAACTCTGGGCCTGGGCTCTGTCCCTTAGCTCTTCAGCTCAAGGCAAGCGCTCTACCGCTTGAGCCACAGCGCCACTTCCGGTTTTCTAGTGGTTTATTAGAGATAAGAGTCTCACAGACATTCCTGCCCAGGCTGGCTTTGAACTGTGATCCTTAGATCTCAACCTCCTGAGTAGCTAGGCTTACAGGTGTGAGTCACCGGTGCCCAGCTCCTTTTTTTAAAAAAAAATTATTTTTGTAGTGCTGTAGATCAAACATATCCTTTTGAAAATGTTAGGCAATAGCCCAGCGCCAGTGACTCACGCCTGTAATCCTACCTACTCAGGAGGCTGAGATCTTCAGATTGCGGTTCAAAGCCAGCTAGGGCAGGAAAGTCCGTGAGACTCTTATCTCCAATAAATCACTAGAAAACCGGAAGTGGTGCTGTGGCTCAAGAGGTAGAGTGCTCACCTTGAGCTGAAGAGTGCAGGGACAGCACCCAGGCCCAGAGTTCAAGTCCCACGACCGACCAAAAAAAAGAAAAAAAATGTTAGTCAAGTGCTTTCTCTACTGAGGTATTTTATGTACATTTGTGTGTGTGTGTGTGTGTGTGTGTGTGTGTGTGCATGCGTGAGTGCGTGCACACACTAGAGCCTCACACATTTGCTGGGCCTTTTTGTTTTTGTTGTTGTTTTTTAGGTCATGGGGCTTGAACTCAGGGCTTGGGCACTGTCCCTGAGCTCTACCACTTGAGCTATAGTGCCACTTCCTTGGTGGGCCTTTTTGCCCTACCACTTGAGTTATGCCTCCACTTTTGGCTTTTTGCTGATTAATTGGACATAAGAGTCTCATGGATTTGTCTACCTGGGGATGGCCTGTAACTGATTCTCAAATCTCAGCCTCCTGAGTAGCTAGGATAATAGGCATGAGCCACCAGTGCCCAGATAGGATGGCTTTCTTACCATCTGGGTTTTCCATTCTCCCAGGCTAAAGTCTACAGCAGGCAATAGGACAGGTGTGGACAAGGGATTGACGTCTGGGCACTGGCTCTGTTGAGAAAGATGGGTAAGGGAAGAAAGGAGCTGAAATAGAAGGGAATAAGGTAGCTTCTAACATTTCAAGTACAGACTGAACTTGAGTAACTTAAACTCCCAGCCATGAAATATCTGGGTCAATTTGGGCAGGTGATTGTGACTGGGATAATCTGTGAGCACTATATTCAGACTAGAGCTTATAAAAGACTCACTAGTGCAAATCATAATTCTTGCTAGGGAGAGGACATCAGGAGACCATACTGAAGACTAGTCATTGTTTGGGGAATGAGAGGAAGTGATAGGAGGGTCCCTTACCAGTTAGGTGGATTGCGAGGGGCAGTGCTTGGGAAATCTCACCAGTTTGCTGTGAAGGACATAGGAGTCACGAAGCAGTTTATTTAGCAGTCGGAGATCACAGGCAGGAGGAGCTGGGCTGGATAGAGTTAGTCTTGCAGTAAGGAGAAGCATGACCATGAGGAGCAATTCTTAGGTGAGAACAGGTGAGGATGACAGGGGTGGACAAAGAAGAAGAAATGATCAGGTAATGATCCAGAAAATCCCACTGAAATGGGAGGAGGGATTGCTGTTCAGACGGACCCTGTATTCCTGGGAGATTGGGATTGGGTTATTCCTCCCCCTACCCCAGCAAGCCTCCCCGCCCCCCCTCCCCTCCATATTCCTGGCCCTAGTCCCTCAAGTGTTTTATTACCAGTCAGCCCCATTCTGGCCGGGATGTCTGACTGGAGTGGCTCCCTGTGTGGGGCCTCTCCCCTGAATCCTTCCTGGGGCCATGGAGGCGGCTTGGCCCTTAGGCTTCTGGGCAGAGTGGGGTGGGGCACAGGTGGGCCAAGGAAGAGGATCTGGAGTTTATCCTGAAAGTGACATGAATAGTGAACATTTCATCATGTTCTTAAGATAAAAAGACGCCTGGCAGAAGGAGAACAGATGCTAACAGGCCTTGAGCTGCTGACCAACCCAGAGCTACTGAAGCTCTGACTGCTCCCATGTTTCCCTGGGCCTATGGCATATGGTGTCTCCTATTTGTTAGAGCTCTTTAGTGACTCTCATACTCTCTCCACCCTGCTGAGAGGAGCTGAACAAGACAAGCATGCATACACATCTTAATTGGCCCCAAATTTTGGTTGTTAGGTGGGAGAAAATCTGGGGTAGGTATAGGGAAGGGAAGTAATGTATGGTTCAAGCCTGAAGATGAGAGTGGAAAATGGAGATGGAACATGCAGGGCATGCATAAAGTATTGAGGTGTAGCTTCAGTGTTGGGGAGTGGAGTGGAGGAGACAACTTGGGCTAAGATATAAATGGGACCAGCAGAGGGGCAGGGATTAACATTTAGTGTGAAAGACATCAGCTTCTCATTCCTTCCCTTTTTACTCTACATATAAAGCCCCCTAGAGTTTTTCTTTGTACTCCAAATTCTGAGATGCCCTGTAATCCAAGTAAAAAAGATGGCCTAACTGTCCTAGGACTTCCTTCCTGAGGTAAATGGCCCAGGATTGGGCACCTGCTGTGCAAGGTGATGCCCACTTTCCAAAGTTTACTTCACTTCAGACACCCACCAACATAACTATCTCATAGCTGCACCTGCTTCCCCACCTCCTCTGCAGACCCCTTCCGGTCCCTTCCCAGGACCCCCCACATGGCTTCCTCCTCCTTTCACAAGTTGTGCAAAGAGCCTGCACCTGATTCAATATTGGGATTTCCTGTAGGTCTGTCAACATACATGAGCCCTCCTCCCACCACCCGCTCCTTGTGTCCTAGCTTGCCTAACCCAGCTTCCCAAGTCCCAGGATTCAGAACCTTAAACTAGCAAGGAATGACCAGGTGAGACTAGAAATTAGGGCTATGTCCATCTTGGTACCGGATGATCAAACTCGCTACACACCTCCTTTCTTATTTTCTCCCTGGGCCCACGTCCCCTTTCCTAGGGCCAGCCAGGACTGTGTTGTATTCCACCAAGTCTGTGATCAGTAGCTCAGAAACCAGCACCCAACCCCCTACCCCTGCTCTGTCCTGCTCCTCCCATTCTGGGAAGGCTCCACTTTTCTCGACAAAGGTCAGTGCCTGTAGGTTCCAGTTTTCTTCCCCTCCCCCCGCGGAGAGTCTAACCCTTCTCTCCTGTCCTTCATACCATACCCTCACTTAACCCCCGACCCTGCTTGCCACTTGCTCACCCGGTGGAGAAGGGCTCCAGCACCCAGGTGCACAGCAGACAGCACTCTGGGGGGCAGATGAGTAGGAAGACATGCGTTGGGGCACAGCCCCTCCACTGCAGTGGGATCAAAACGCCTGCCCAGGCCACTTTTGCCCAATCAGAAAGCAGAGAGCCACTAGACACTAGCAAAGGCCCCCGGAAGTGACGATTTTTCCTACGGGTGCTGGACCTAGAGCCCCTGCCTGGACCATGGTCCATTAACAGAGCCCTGATCCTCCACCCACACATACCACCGGGAGGATTTACATAGGGATCTCTCTTTCTAGGAGATGGGAACCTGGGACCTAGCTGGAGGACAGATGGGAGAGAATCAGAGGGAAAATCCGTCAAGGCATGTTTGCTGGAGAAGAGATACAGAGGTCCTATATTAGACAGGTGTGATTTTTCAGTTCCTGGCTATCCAAATTTCTTTTCCCTGGACACCACACCTGTTGTAGAAACCCCACAAGACTCTATTTTCTGGTACTCCGGGGAATCCTTTTCCTGCCATTTCCCTCTTTCAAGTGGAAATCTGGTATTGTCTATGTTAGAAAAAGATCTTGTTAGGGATCCTGTTATGGGGAAAAGGTACAGATAGTTTGAGGGGACTGGAAGATGCTGGCTGTGTGCTGATTTAACACAAGCTTTTGTGCTAGGGTCCAGGGGCTTGGACAGCTAAGCCTACTTAACCTCTGTGCCAGTACCTTCCTTTGCTTGCCCTGTCTTTTGCCCTCTTTCATTCTTACCACTCTCCATGACAAGAGCAATAACCAGGCCCATGTGTCCCTGTCTTAGGAAAGACAGCTGCTGAGCCTCCCCCGCAAATACCTCCCTGCCGGCCCCCCTCTTCTTCTGGCCCTGGCCCTAGCTCCTTTGCTTTCCCCTTGGTCCCAGTCTCCCCACAGTCTGTCCTTGGGCCTCCTGGACTGACCTTGTCCCCTCCCCCTCCCCTTGTTCTTCCTTAGGCACTCTCCTGTGCCTTCTTGCAAGGATGGGCCCTGTTAAGGAGTATGGCCTAGATCCCGGAATTCTCCAGTTCAGTCAGAAGAGATGCCTCCCAAGATTAGGAAAGGAGGGTGCTGGGATAGCTGGGAGGATGGGGGGGGGGGGGGAGGTAGGGGTGGGAGGGGACAGGGAGGCACGACCAGAAGGCCAAGACAAAGGAGGTTGAGGATGGGCTGGAGAGGAAATGGGTCCCTTGGATGAGGGAAGAGGGTGGGAACGCGAGAGTAACGGTTGGATAGGCTTGAGCACAGGTTACAGTGGAGAGGAAACCGTCGTCACACCACAGAAGGGGGTACACGGCCTGTTTCTGGCTAGGTCCTTGACCTGGAGAACTCCAGCATGAGAGAGACCTGAGAGTGCAGGTAGAAACACACAAGGAAGAGAGAGGGGTGCTGCGGGCCCAGAGTCTAGTCATCCTAAAGCCATCCTCATCCTTCCAGCGGTTTTCGCCCAGTGACTGGTCCAGGCCTAGGGCCCGGCTCTGCCTCTCCCTGGTCCCAGACGCGCACCTCTTGGTCCAGCTGCCCGGTGGCCACGGGCAGTGCGGGAGGGGTGTGTGTGGCGGGGGGGGGGGGGCCTCCAGGCCCGCCTCTCCTCCCCTCCCCCTGTCCCTCCAGCCCCTCCCTCCTCCCCTGCCCGGTCCCAGCCCCTCCCTCCCCTCCCCCCATTCGCGATCCGGGCCGCCGCGGCTGGGCCGGACCCCCCGGGCTCAGCCCGGCCCCTCACGGAGCCGCCGCCGCCGCCGCCCCGTTTGCTGAGGAGGAGGCCCCCGGCCGGGGCGTCGGGCGAGGGGCATAAAACGAGCCGGCGCCGGCGCCCGAGGCACGAGTGCCGCGTACGGCCCGGGTCAGCGCCCGCCCGCCCGCCCGCGCGCCCCTCCCGGTCGCTCCTCTTGCCCCGCCCGGCCCGGCCCGGCGCCGACTCCGCGGCCGCCCGACGAGCCCCTGGCCGCACAGCCCGGGCCCCGGCTCCGGCCCCCTCCCGCTGGACCGCCCCCGGCCCGGCCCGCCTCCCTCCTCCGCGCCTCCCCCTCCCCGCCCGCCTCCCCAGCTGTCCCGCTCGCGTCATGCCGAGCCTCCCGGCCCCGCCGGCCCCGCTGCTGGTCCTCGGGCTGCTGCTGCTGCTCGGCTCCCGGTCGGCCCGCGGCGCCGGCCCCGAGCTCCCCGCGCTGCCCATCCGTTCCGAAAAGGAGCCGCTGCCGGTTCGGGGAGCGGCAGGTAGGTGGGCGCCTGGCGAGGGGACGTGCGGGCGGGGAGTCCGGCTCTCGGCAAGTCTGCGCCCGCCAGAGGGGGCCCCGGGCGCAGGTGGCTGGGCGCCGCGCGCGGGCTGGAGGGGTGCGCGGGGCCGGGGGCCCCGGGGCCCGGGGGCAGCGCCCAGGGCTGGCATGCCGCACGAGCGGGACAGCGGCCGCCAGCCAAGCCCATCCCTGCAGGCTGCTCCTTCGGCGGGAAGGTCTATGCCTTGGACGAGACGTGGCACCCCGACTTGGGGGAGCCCTTCGGGGTGATGCGCTGCGTGCTGTGCGCCTGCGAGGCGGTGAGTGGAGCCCACGGTCGCGGGCCGGGCTGTTGAGGACAGGGCAGCGCCGGGGTCCTGGGATCTGCCGGGGAGAAAGATACTTGGGATATTTTTGCGGTGGAGGTAGGGGGGATAGCCCCTTTTCAAGTGTCAGGTGCTGACAATTATTGATCGCCCACCGTGGGGCCAACTGCCTTTCGTCGTCTCTCACTTAACTCCCGCTGCAACCTTGCTAAGAGACAGAGCAAGTAACCCGCGTTTCCAGACAGGGATCCCAAGGAACAGAGAAGTTAGGAAACGTGTCTAGAGCCTTGCAGCTTTTAAGTGCCAGAGCTGTCTGATGCCAGCTGAAGATCTTACCCTGGTCCTTAGACGCTGCCTCCTTAACCCCCCCGACCCCGCAGTCTGACCCGTTTGCCATCTTGCACGCACTTGATTTTCCCTTGTGCTCTGCGATCAGCCTCAGTGGGGTCGCCGTGGGAGGGGCCCTGGCAGGGTCAGCTGCAAGAACATCAAACCAGAGTGCCCAGCCCTGGCCTGTGGGCAGCCACTCCAGCTGCCGGGACACTGCTGCCAGACCTGCCCCCCGGGTAAGGCCCGCTCCGAGGCGAGGCACGGCGAGGCGAGGGGAGGGCAGGGTGGCAGGGCAGCACCAACAGGTCCTGGGCCACTTGTTTGGGGAGGAGGCTGGCCCTCCACGTGGTCAGCTGAAGCCAGTGCCTCTTACCCCCCCCCACCCCCCCCCGGGCACAGAGAGCAGCAATCCGGAGCAGCAGACGCCAGGCCTGTCCTTCGAGTATCCGAGGGACCCGGAGCACCGCAGTTATAGCAACCGCGGGGAGCCAGGGGCTGAGGATCGGGCCCGCGCTGACGGCCACACGGGTAGGCGGGGACGCGGGTCGGATCTTCGTCGGGGCGGGCCGTCAGCAGCGCGTTGATGGAGTTCAGGTCATCTTCCTCTCCTTGCAGACTTCGTGGCGCTGCTGACAGGGCCGAGGTCGCAGGCTGTGGCACGTGCCCGCGTTTCGCTGCGTCGCTCCAGCCTACGGTTCTCCATCTCCTACCAGCGGTGAGGAAAGGGAAGGAGGGAGGAGCAGCCAGCCGGAGGCTCGGGAAGAGAAACGGGAAGAGGGAGCTTGTTGCTTCCAGTCAGGGTTCTGGATCCAATTTCACCAGACTTTCTCATTCACAGACTGGACCGCCCCAGTAGGGTCCGATTCTCAGACTCCACCGGTAGTGTCCTGTTTGAACACCCTGCAGCCCCTGCCCAAGATGGCCTGGTGAGATGATGCCATTTATGAGTGCTTATTAAGTAAGGGTACTGTACAGAGAGCATGCTCTGTGTTGCCTGTTTTGGTCTTCAAATCAGAGCAGTGAGAGGATGGCTCTGTCATTATGATGCCCATTTTACAGATGAGGAAACTGAGACTCAGGAGCAGAATCTGATTTGTTCAAGGTCACACAGCTAATAGGTGGTAAAGCTAGGATTTGAACCCAAACATTTGGCTTGGAGTTTGTTTCTCTTCCATATTCCCTTCTCATCAGTTCTGGATCTCTTAGCTGGACTGTCCTTCGTGCTATCTGATTGTGGACTTTCTTTTTTCTCTGCTCCAGGTCTGTGGGGTATGGCGGGCGGTGCCTCGATTATCTCTGCGCTTTCTTAGGGCAGAACAGCTGCATGTGGCATTAGTGACACCCACACACCCTTCAGGGGAGGTCTGGGGTCCTCTCATCCGGCACCGGGCCCTGGCTGCAGGTAAAGGGGGCCAGCAGCTCCCTTTCCCCAGGCATGAAGATCTGAGCTTTCTCTTTCCTGGGAGTGGGGTTGGCCCAGGAGAGGATTTTCTGATGGATTTTCTCATGGTTCTCCTTTTCCCAGAGACATTCAGTGCCATTCTGACTCTGGAAGGCTCACAGCAGCAGGGTATAGGGGGTATTGCCTTGCTCACCCTTAGTGACACAGAGGACTCTCTGCATTTTTTACTACTCTTCCGGGGGCTGCTGGAACCCAGGAATGGGGGTAAGTAGTGGGGGGAAGCCTGTGAGAGGGCAGGGAGGGTGCCTGTTTCTCAAATGCCCACGTATGTGGCCATTCCAGCACCAGCCCAAGTTCCTGTGAGGCTCCAGATTCTCCACCACGGGCAGCTACTTCGAGAGCTCCAGGCCAATGTCTCAGCCCAGGTGAGGGAGGGTCTGGTTCTTGCTACCACCTGCTCTGGCCTCTTGCTGTTGCCCACCACACTCTGTTCTGTCATCAGGAGCCAGGATTTGCTGAGGTGCTGCCCCACTTGACAGTCCAGGAGATGGACTGGCTGGCACTGGGGGAGTTGCAGATTGCCCTGGAAAGGGCAGGTGGGCCAGAGCTGCGCATTAGTGGACACATGGCTGCCAGGCAGAGCTGTGATGGTGAGGCAGGAAGGGGCCTGGCCTGGCACCTTGGGTACATACAACTGAGGCACAGGCTTGTGCCAGGGAAGAGGCCAAAGTGGGAATGGGAGGGAGGAAGAGAGATCCTGGGGGCTAAGGGTGCTGGGTGATCCTGTCACCACGTGTCTTGCCCCCTGCAGTC